GCTTATGAGCAGATCCTGTCACACCCACTCAGTTGATCAGGCTCCAGACTGGGCACTCCCTGGCTCCTCTCGAAAGGTCCTGGCACGTTCACGGATCAAGCCCCGGGGCGGGGCCTTCCCTGTGGCTGCCTGTGCCCGCACCTGCCATGGGTGGCCTCATTGTTTGATTTGCAGTTACCACAGTCTCTCCCTTTGCAAATGACAGCTTCCCTTTTTCCCCTGGCAACCCTCCCTCAGTCTCATACAATTTGTCTCAGCCCACAAGGCCAGGTCACTTCTGCCCTCACAATTGCCCTGGGTCCCTGGTCCCATCCTGCGAACAGGGAACCAAAGTCTGAAGGGACAAGGGAGTCACCCCAAGGCCACACATGGAGACAGCAGCAAAGCCAAGAGTAAAACCCACACCTCCTGGGTGCCAGCCCCAAGCTCCTCCCAGCACGTCATGTGCCCCCAGTTTCAGGTGTGACTCTCTACCCTGAAGCAGGGTCCACCCAGCTGCCCTCCACACAGCGAGCACACACCCAGCCTGCCACACGCTCACACCCTTTCATCCACCACCCACCCATCCACTCTTCTTCCATCCACTCATCCAGTCTCCTCCACCTTTCCCACCAGCCATGCCTTCATTCATGCATTCTCCACCCATTCACTCCTCTCTCCACCCACCCATTCTCTCTAACATCATCTATGCACCCATCAACCCATCTGTGTTTTCAACCATCCCTCCCTCCATCCATCCACTCCCCAACCAATCCAACCATCCATCCATTGGTCCACCTGTCCATCTGTTCATCCATTCATCCTCTCATCCACCCATCAATGCATCCTTTCATCCATCCATCCATGCATCCCCTAACCCACCCATCTGTCCATCCACACAACCAGCCATTAAGCCCTCAGAGGACAGAGAAACCAGACAGGCTGGGATACCAAGGGCTCTGGATAAGGGGTACCTGAAGTGGACCTGACAGCACGGGGGACACTTGAGGCTGGGATGGGAGATCACAGAGGGCGTCCACTGAGAGGCGGCGCACAAGCAAAGGTGTGAGCACGGGAGAGTGAGTGGTGGGAGGGCAGCAGTGAGGAAGGCCTGAGGAGAATGTCAGGCCAGGAGGCGGGGGGTAGGCAGAGTCCTGTTGTCTGGGGCCTAAAACCAGGAAGCTCGGCTTGGTCTAAAGGCCATTTGTGGGGAAGGGCAGTGATGAGGGGGCTAGTCCAGGGCCCACACCCATCAGCCCAAGAGACGGGCCCACACTGCCCCCAGCCCTCCCCCTCCTCTGTACCTGGCCTCTGCTCCGGTGAGCACCTGTCAGGTATATACCAGGTAGAGGGCATCTTGGTGTGGAGGAGACCGGCCTTGGTCCCGCCTGGGTTTGAGATGGACCTGAGTCCAGGCCAGGGCCTGCCAAATGGGGCGGCACTTCCTGGGCAACCTCCCTGCTGGGCCAGAGCAGGCTGCAGGGAGCAGCACTGGGGGGACTCGAGTAACGAGGAGCCGAGGTCACCCGGGACCTGGGTCTCCAGGGTCTTCAAGATGGAGGTTGCCGTGGCCTGTGTGACCCCCAAGGGCAGAGCTCGGCGCTCAGCAGAGAGTAAGTCTGAGCTCAATGGGAAGAAGGGCCTTCTCCATCAGAGCTGTTCCAGGATGACACCGACATGAGGGGTGGGGGTAAGTTTCCCAGCACTGGAGGTATGCATGCAGAGGCAGAGCTTGGTGCTCAGACGGGGGTTCCCAGGGAGGGCTGTGCAGAGGGGTCCTGCTCCCCGAGGGCCTGCCCACCCATCAGCCTGCCAGCTGCCTCCCACTTCCACCCTGTGTCACCCTGACTCACAAGCCACTTCCACCGCCACCAGGGAGCGGAGCCAAGGGTTGGAGAGTGATCCCCATAGGAGACCGGCCCCCTGTTCTGAGTCCCGTGGAACGGCGTCTCATAGGGCCGAGTGGTGGCGGCTCTTTGCAGCCTGGAGTGTGTGCTCTGGTGAGGGGGCAGGGCAGGGGGCTGGCGAGGGGCCTCACTTGGCCCACTCCTTGGTGGGTTCTGCATTATGGCCAGACTTCCAGAGAGCCCCTACTGGGCCCTGGATTTGGAGGCAAGGGGCCGGGGCCAGCGCCTCACCATGGGGACTGCACAAAGTGATGTCACAGCTCACAGACTCAGCTTCACCAGCAGAGCAACAGGTAGATCACCTGCGGGCTCTCCAGGGTGCAGAGGGGCTGAGCAGGCAGGAGAAGCTTGGCTGCGGCCCCGTCCCAGGGGAAGGCAGGTGGACGGCTGCCTGCACCTGTGGGGCCTCTGCACTGCGCCGGCGTGGCCATAAGAGGGCGCCCGCCCCTTGCCCAGCGCTCCTTTCACCTGGGCACCCTCCCCTGCCCGGCCCCTCCACCACGAGCTCGCAAGGCAGCCTGACCCCATGGGGCCCGCAAAGCCCCTGCCAGGTCTGTGGGCCTGAGAAGGCCTCCTGGCCCCGCACCCCCCCATGGAGCTGGGGAGACAGCAGGGGTCCCAGGCGTGTGGGGCGGTGGCAGCTGCTCACTGCCTGGGGGCACGCGGGGCCTTAGGAGCAGGAGCTGGTGCCCGACCGCGGCCCCCACACCTGGGGAAGCCAGTGGGCCACGAAGAAATGCAGAAGGAAGGGAGATGCCCGCCAAAGGTCACCTGGCCCGTGCGGGTGGGCGAGAGCGGAAGGCTGCTCTAAGCCCCACCGTGAGGTCAAAGGAGTGGGGTAGCGCGCTTCCAGTCGGCTGAAATCACCTAAAGGAGAGGCACAAGTGTGGACACCGCCACCGCCCCCAGGAGCCCAGGCCTCCCCGATGCCATCCCCACAGGCAGGCAGCAGGCGGGGAAGGCACATGGGGAGGTCTGTTTTGCCTGGGACTCGCCAGCCCAAGGGTTCTGCCCACCGTGCTGCCCCTGGGAGCTCCTGCCCCAGCCTCAGCTCCCTTGCAACCCCGCGTGGGCTGTAGTGCTCCCATTTGTAGATGGCCCGTTGTCCACCCGGCATCCTGTGGGACTCCTTGGTCTCCCTCATCGTCCTCCCATCAATGACAGTCAGAGATCAGCCACCAGGGCCTCTCCATCACTTGGTCCAGCTCCCTGGTCTTGCCCTGTACCTCCCCAGAACCGAGCCCCTGGGACCGTGGGAGGTGGGGCACCGCCCTCCTGCCTCAGTAGTCTGCTTAGCCAGCACCCACCAAGGGCCTCCCGGGCCTGGCACCCAGACACCCCACAGACACCATGGGGGCAGGGCTGGAGCACATTCCTGTGGCTGTCCACCTCGGGGAAGGGAAGGACAAGGAGGCCCAGAGAGGAGAACCAGCATCTGGCCTGAGTGTGGGCCAAAGCAGTCACTTGAACTCAACAGCAGCAGTCAGTCCATGGGATCAGAGTGGGTCCCACCAGAAGAACCGAGCAGACACACTTCCAAAACCCAGCCCCAACTCACTGACAGAGGGGCTAGCCCTGTCCCCAGCACCTGTGCCCCTCGACAGTAAAGAGCCTCTCCCCTCTGGCTGGCCGGTCCTCCCATCGTAAAGATACAGCGAGAGCCTCTCCCCCTGCTCCCCTACCTGGCTGGGGTGTGTCTCTCATCAGTGGACAGAGAATTCCTGATGCCCTGGGGAACAGCTAGGTTCAGCCCAGACACCCTCGACCATCTTGAACACCCCGACACGTGCACATGCGCACACACAGGGATGCACACACATGCTGCTACACTCATGCCTAGTACAACCACTGGGGCCTCAGCACAACGAAAGACGTCAGCTGACCATACACAGGGACACTGATGCCTTTCCCCCATGCCCACAGCCTGGGGACCTGGGGGAGCCTTGGGGTTGCAGGCAGCACGAGTGCCCACACCCCCAGAGGACAGCTGGTGAGCCGGGGGCCACAGCAGCATCTCCAGCTGGTGCTGAGAAGGGCAGCTCAGGAGCCCTGTCCTGCCTCTCCAGCCTCCACCCTCCTCCTGGGTCCCAGCTGGCCACTCCAGATCACCTGTGTGTACACCATTTCCTGTCTGCAGTCCCTCGGGGGAACTTGCCTTCATCTGGCAACACTCAGCTCAGACACCTCCCAAGACTGCCCCAGCCCCTCCACTCCTGTTGTCCAGCCCTGCCCAGGCCCCATGGGACCTTTGCGAACACCTCTTAGATTAAGAGAAACAGAATTTTCGAGTGAGTGCCCAAGTGCCCCCCGAGTGCCAGCTGGCTCAGGGCAGGCATGAGGCCCAGCTCAGCGAGTCCCTGTGCCCTCAGGCCTGCCGGGGGGAGGCAGAGAGCCGAGGCTTCGGCCAGTCACCCTGGCTGCAAACCACTGACTTGCCATGCAACCATGGCCAGGCCACGTCACCTCTCCAGCCCTAACTCCCCATCACTGAATGCCTGCTGCAAATGCAACTGTGTCCAAGGGTCCATTCTCTCCCAGGCCCAGAGAGCAGGGCCCTCCTGGGCAGGTGGTCAGAGCATGGACACAGCCCACAGCCCCATCACTCACCCACTTCATGTCCCCATCCCAGTGTCTCACTTTCCTGCCCTCTTTGAGGGGCCTGCAGAACAGCCCGTAGGCTCACCTCAACCCAATAAGGTCCATCAACCTCTGACCCCACCTGCTACCCTCCACCCCACCCGGTGATCCCAGGAGCCTGGGGGCCCAGACCTCGAGTTGGCGGCACAACCTCCCAAGCCCCCCTGGAAGATCATGGGACTTGATCCTGGGAAGGAACTAGAAGCTGGGGAGGGCGTCCATGGAGGAGGACAGCAAGGCTCCAGGGTTGGGGAGGAGGAGAGGGCCAGGAGCTGGATGAGGGTTTGAGCAACTCCTTTCTGGCCTTGGTCCTGTATTCTGTGGAACAGGGACAAGCCCAGCCCTACTAGCTCGGTCCCTAAGTTCACAGGAGCCTGACAAGCCTGGACAGCCCCCCATGCCAGAAGCATCCCAGCGAGCAGCCCACTGCCTCCCTGGGCGGCCAAGCTCCAGAAATGAGGACCTCCCCCAGCACACTCTCATGGAAGACCCTTTAATCCTGGGCTTTCTTTAAACAAAACAGAAACATTGCAGCTTTCCCATGGCGGCTATAAGGCAGGTGACAGCGTGGAGGGGCAGGTGAGAAATCGGGGTGTGGCTGTGCTCCCGGCTCCAGCCGGCGGTGGGGTTCCTGGACAGGGCAGCAAGGAAGTGGTTCTGGGCTCCAGCTGCTCTGGCCTGCCCCATGGGCGGCAGGGGCACAGGCAGGTGGGCACCCTGCCCAGAGCAGCCGCACACATGGGCAGGCAGCAACCCCACACCCAGGGCCCTGACCCCAGTGTCCCCAGGGAGCTAGGCTGGTGGCAGAGTCCTGGGCCAGGGCATGCCCCTGCTCTGCCCTCGGCACTCTCAGAGGCCCCAGACCAGTCCCTGCTTCTCTCCAGGCCTCCCTTTCCCCAGCTGGAAGGCGAGGGATTAGGCAGGAGCGGGTGGCCACGGCTGGTGTCCCCGCAGCCTGGTGACCCCATCAGGGAGCCCCGAGAGCCGCTGCCAGGACAGGCCTCCTTTGGGAGAGGAAGGAAAAAATCGACAGCAGGGCAGGGGGTCAGGCAAGGACAGCCCCAGTGGGACCACTGACGACTGAGGTGCTGGAGCTGCAGAGATGGCTGGACCCCATCCATAGTCACACAGTGAGACCCTATGGGGTGCAGACAGGCGAGGGCAGGGTATAGAGGGGGCCCAAGCAGAATCCCACTCCCTGCTCCGATTAGGACACCCCAGCGACAGGAAGCTCACCAGCTCCACAGAAGCCCCTGCGCTGTCCGGCCTACCCTGGTCCTGACACACTCTCTGGCTGCAAGTCTCAGCTGCAGGCCCTGCCCCCTCCCACCCCTGCTCCTGGGGAGCTCAGGAGGCCAGGCCTCCCTCCTGAGGGCCCTTTGGTCATTCGGCCTGGCCCCTGACCCCCCAGACTCCGCCCTGGGCCCACCCTGCCCTCGCCCACAGCCAGAGGGATCTGCCTTGAAGTGCTGCTTTGACCCTTCACAGCTCCTCGCGGGCCTGACTCAGGCCCCAGCCCTGCGCCCAGCACAGCTCTGGCCTCACACCTGCCGGGCGCCCCACACCAGCTCGGACTCTGGGCTCTGAGGCTCCAGGGGGCTCTAGCTGGTTCCTCCGCTCCAAGCACTCTCCAGACGTGGGTCCAGGGAACCCTGGCTTCACCTCAGGGTGGGGCCGGGGCACCTCACCCACAGTTCACACACCAAGGGCCCTGGGCCTCCCACTTTGCCCATCGATTCCACTCTGAGGGCAGAGCTAGGTCGGAACACCTGGGTCGCCCTGTCCTGTGCCCAGCATGGGGTGAGGCACCGAGGGGCATCAATAATGGGGGTGGCGGGAGGGAGCCAAGTGGGTGAAGGGGGCTGGGCTGGTCACAAGTCCACTCCAGCTCAGAGAGAGCCCAGCCCGGCCAGCCTGATCTGCACTCTCTGCCTCCTGGCAGGCGGGGATGGCTGGGCAACCGCCCTCAGGTGGAAGCTGGCGGTCAGTGTGAGGTGGTCACTGGTCCTTGACCACATCGCTGAGCCCACTCTCAGCCCGGAGCAGCTGGCTGCTGGCCTCGTTGTAGGCGATCCAGTGCTGGAGGTCTTCCGGCAGTTCTGGGGACTCCACCTGCAGGGGAGAGGGGGGTGAGACACCACAGGGAAAAGCAGGGGGTGCAGGGAGGGGCGCCCAGCCAGGCTGCTGCCTTCGCACCTGTGGGCCTCTGCTCAGGCTGTCCCCTCTGCCCGAAGGCTACACCTAGCTCCAGGCGTCCCCTCCTCCCCTTCCAAGGGCCCTCTCCTGCAGCCCTCCCAGGCCCCTCAGCCCGCACTTCCCCCAACCTAGCTCTCAAAACACCACCGGCCTTTCTAAAGCCTGTCTCCCCCACAGGCCACGCCTGAGCCCTCCGTGTGGCCCAGAACCCAGGCCAAAACCTCTGAGGCCAGTGACTGGAGAGGGGTGACAGGAGATGGGAGACCCAGAGGAGTCAGAGGCCTGTGGAGTGGGGACAGAGCAGGGGTGGGGGGTGGATGCCAGGAAAGTGCTGGACAGGGGCTGGCCAAGAGCCTCACCCCATCTGTCTCTGTCTCCTGCACCAAGAGGAGCAGGACTTGACCTCTAGGTCAGCTCTGGGCCTGAGCACTGTGTTCCCACCCCCGCCCGCCCAGCCACACCAGCCGCCTCCCTGCACGCTCGCCGTCATTTCATGATGGAGTGGCAGGCCTGAGGGGTCAGAGGCCTTGCAGATGGGCTCTGGGAGTTCCCAGGGAAGAGCGGAAAGGCCTGGGCAAATGTCTACCCCCCTCGGGGCATCAGGGAGGCCAGGCAGGGGTGCTCGGAGCTGAAGCCCCAGTCTTCCCTGCTGACCGAGGCAGGGTCCCGTGGCAACTCTGGGCCCAGCCTCTGTTCAACGTCCGGGCCTGGCTCTTGGGCAGCACTGTCCTCCCAGCTCGGCTGCAGTGACCAGATCCCAGACAGCTCCAGCCCAGCTCTCCCCTCACGGCCACACTACCCCACACAGTCTTCCAGCATGCAGATCCCGAGGCATTGCCCCAGCCTGCCCCAGGCTAAACCTGAGACTCCACCTGGGCCCCTCCTGACCCAGGGGCTCAGGCTGGAAACGTGGGCAAGTCCTGGCCACGCCCTGGCCCTCCCAACCGTGGCTGGGCGTCCTTGGGGTGTCCCTGCCAAACTGTGGTATCAGCCCGTTCACCTCTCCTGTGGACCTCATCCATCAGCCAGAGACCCTCCCAGCCCATGCATGACCGCATCGCACCCTCCCTTGCCGGAAAGCTGCCTTGGTTCCCCTCTCTTCCACCTTTGGTCCCAGCTCTCAGCCCATCGATTTAAAGCTTGGATGGCCACCCTCTTCCAGTCTCCTGACAGACGAAGGGACAAGCAGAGCATCTCTGTCTCTATGGCTGGGGGTGGGGGAGGGGGGTGGGAGATTTAGGCCCTTTGGGGGTGTTCCTGACTCGACAAAGACAGAAAATCAAGGAGCTGTGTCTGTAGCCTGCTGTGCAGCCTGGGGTGGTTCCCATTGCCTCTCTGAGCCTAAGTTCCTCCACCTCTGATATGGAGAAAATGCTGACTTCTCCTGATTAAGGTGAGGCTGCGTCCCTTCTCTGCTCAGGGGGTGCCTGTCCGAGGCCAGAGAGGCAAGCCCTGGCTTTGGCATAGAGGCTGCAAGCAAGTTTTCAGGAACCTGCCTGTGGCAGGAGCCTACCCTGGCAACCATCGCTGCAGTGGTACCCTGGCTGTCCCCAGGGACCGGTTGCCATGCTGCAGTAGCCGGCTGGGCTGTGCTGTGCTGGGAGGAGCAGGCCCTGGAGAGGGACCTTGAGCGCCAGGTAGGCATCGTGGCTCTCTGCTCTCCAACTGGGAAGGCAGAAAGGCTTGCAGCTCTCCAGGGTGCAATCCCCAACTCCAAACCCAGGTGATAGTGACCTAGCCTCTCATCTCTAAGCTGTGTGAAAGGCATGGTCTCAGGTCCTTGAGAACTCCCAGCAACTTCCTGTCACTGACGCCCCCCCATCCTATGTTCAGAACTGGGGAGCAGAAAGGGTGGCTGCGCACTCCAAGCCACACAGCGGCACCAGGACTTAGACTACTGGGACGGGCCTGGTCTGGGCTTCCTGGAAAAGGTGGAGGGTAGGACACAGAGCCCTGAAGGGCTAGGGTAAGAAATGGCAAGAGAGGAGCATGCTAAATCCAGCCACGAAGAGCGGATTCGGGAGCCCTGAGAGCTCCCAGGAAGAACCGCAAAGCAAAGGGCTGGAGGGGTGCGCGGCGGGACAGGGGCACCCCCAAGAAGGCTTAGCCAGCCGAACTTTCCCAGAGGAGGGGCAGGGACCAGTCGTCTTCAGGGCCCCGTAGGGGCATGCATCCAGGGTGGGGGGCGCTCACCTTGCGCTTGCACAAGTGCTGCACGACACGCTCCGGCGAGGTGCCTAACACGTGCTGGCGGGAGCGCAGCAGCGCGCACACGAAGCCGTCACGCAGGCTGATGAAACGCGCCTCCAGGTAGAAGGCGCGGTCGTCCCAGCCCAACAGTCGGGTGCGCACCTCGAAAGCCTCCAGCAAGTGCAGCGAGCGGCGGTAACGCGCGCACGAGGCGGCCAGCACCGCGCGCGCCCCGAGCGCGCGCAGCGCCCCGAGCACGCCGCAGCGGGCCAGATGCGCGGCGCGCGCCACGTCGGCCTCGCGCAGGTAGCGCGCGTTGTTCATGTGCAGCAGCAAGTCCAAGTCCGAGGGCAGCACGCGGCCCGCGTAGCGCTGCTCGGCCAGCAGATCGCGGACGCGCGGCTGCAGCAGGCGCGCGCGCAGCACGGCGCACGGCACGCGTACCAGGTACCAGCCGTCCAGCAGCGCGAAGTAGGCGAGCGCCAGGGCCAGCAACGCCACGAGCAGCCCCAGCATCGCGGCGGCAGAGCCCGCGGCGCCGGTGCCAGCCGGTCCGCGCTGCGCTGCTGCCGGCGCCCAGCCCGCCTGCTTGGGAACCGGCGAGCGCCGTGCGGCCGGAGCGAACCACCTCGCTAGGCCGGCTGAGGGGCGGACGCGCCGAGGCCGCTGGCGCCCCAGGCTGGAGTCCCGCTCCCCACCACCGGCGCCCCCCGCGCCCGCAGTGGTGCGTCCCGCCACCACCGCCGGCACCGCCCTCGCGTTCCCCGGGGCGGGCTGGGCACAGGGCCGCGCGCCGAGCGCCACAGCGGCATCTGGCGGGCGCGCTCCGCGCTGCAGGCGCAGGAGCGTCCGGGGTCGTCCGCAGCGCCTCCCCCTCGCCCAGAGCTCAAGCTCCTCGCGTCTCTCCCGGGTCCTTGAGGACTCGGACTGGCCCCTGAGATTTGGCTCCTGATCTGAGCAGAGTCAAAGGCTCCAGCACTTCCCCGGCCCAGCCTGCGGGACTTTGCAAGAAAAATGGACACAGCCGGTCCCCAGCGGTGCTGCTTGGAGACTGGTGGAAACGGACCCTCCTCTGCTCCAGAACTTCCAGGGACTCCCTCTTTCCGCAGGGCGACAGCCCCAATGCGTATGCAGCGGATTCAGGGCGCATCACAGTCTGGCCCTAATACACCTTTTCAGTCCCAGCCTGTAACCTCATTACCCCTCCCCCCAACATTCACCCTCACCCCCAAAGATCCTGATGACCTCAAGTTCATTCCCAAGCATTCCCACCCTTTGTCCCTTTAGAAATGGGAGTAAATAGAGTCCAGGATGGAGTGGGCGGAGTCGGGGTAGAGGTAAATGACTCAGCAGTGGATTTAAAGTGTCTTGCCTTAGGCACGCGGACGCCGGGCCAGTGGGCTGTCGCACACACTCGGTGTCCTGTCTCTCTTTTCTGCGAGGCCGGGGAGAGAAGGCCCGGCCAGCTCTCCCAGCCGGCCCTCAGGGCTCTCAAACGACAGCGTCTGCTGTGACCTGGGAGGCCGGCTCCTTAGGTCCGCTCTGGAGTCCTGGAAGGGTGGGTGTGAGGAGCTCCTGAGCCATCGCTGCGGGTCCGGTCAGCTCCGAAGACGCATCCGGCAGCAGTTGGACTGAGAAGCAGCCAGGCTCCAGTCCTGTCCACACTGGGCCTGGGTTCTGTTGGAGGGTTCTTGACCACCTTCTCAAAGGAGGAGCTCCTGGGGCAGCCCCACGCCACCGTCCCATGCTGGGGCTGGGTGGCCTCGCATGCCTCCGGTCACCACGAGGGGCAGGGGCTGAGTTCTTTGCTTTTCTAGCTTTGCTTCTGGGGCCAGCAGCTCAGCAGCACAGGATCCTGAGTCCCTGGATCTGCTTAGACACTCTCAGGGACGGGGAGCTCATTCCCTATCAGGGCAGATCCAGATGCCCTAGGAAGTCCTGGCTGTAAAATGGCCTTCCCCACACATTGGTCACACTTGTCCCTATAATGCTCACCCTGTCCTGGCTCGGCTCTGAGAGTCTGTCCACAGCGTGGGGCATCCACCCTGCTCCCTTCTGATCGTCTGCTTTCCACGCTGGCCCCCAACACACACACACGCACAACACATGCTGCTCCCTCTGTCAGAGGACCCTCCCTTCCCATCTTCCCCCTCCCTGACCCCCAGACCAGGCTAGATCCCTAGAGCCCTGGTCTCAGGGAGCTTTTACACAGGTGCGCCTACATAAGCAGGGAGTGCTGTCTCCCCGCGGGATCCTGAGGCCAGGGCCACGTCTGCCTCGTTGACGGCCAAATCCCAGGGCCAGTGCCATGTCCGGCACACAGCGGGCGCTCAAAACGCACGAATGCGCCCTTTCCGCCCCCTACCGTCCGGCCGCATCGGTCCCACACAACGGACGCGGGCATCTTGTGGGGGTCGTCAGTTTCCTGGGGTACTGGAAGGAATTCGTGTCACACCAGGGCCTCCTAGGCGCGGGACCTGGAAGCCTCTCCCTCGGCCCTGGCTTGGAGTATCTGAGTCCGAGGAACCGCGCAGGGTGGAGGAGCTTCGGAGGGGTGCCCCAGGGGGTCCCCTTGGTTCCTCAAGGATTCTCGCGTGTGGGTAGCGCCGGGCGTCGCCGCCAGAGGCAAGCCCGCAGCCTGAGTTCTAACGGCCACCTCCTTGGTCCGAGGCTCCAGGGCGAGGAGGAGCGCGGGCTCAGAGCGCCGCCCAGAACAGAAGCTGAGGTGCGAGCAGGTTGAGCGCAGCGGGCGCCGGCCCCACCCCCAGCCCCAGCCCCAGCCCCAGCCCTGGCGTCATCCACGGCCCGGCACCTACCCCGCCCCGCTCCCGTCCCCGGGTTTCCTCCCCGGAACCGCCCCCATTTCCCCGTTCCTCGGCCCCCAGCTCCGCCCCCGTCCCCAGCAGCGCACCGCAAGGAACACCGCTGTTAGTGGCGGCAGCTCTGCGGGCGCTTCTGGCCTAGCCCGTCCCGGTTCGGGGGCTCGCACCGCGCCGCGCACGCCTCGGTCACCGTCGCGTTGCCTATGAAGGGATAGCCTGCGGGTGTGACAGAGCGGGGGTCTCGAGGGCGCAGACCGGTTTGTCCGCGATGTGAGCTGGGGGGCCGGCCCATAGCAGACCTGAGCCTCAGGTCCATAAAAAGGGGGTGGTCGCCCTAAGAGATGGTGGCTCTGCCGCAGCTAGGGGGCGAGAACCTGGCGGCGCCTCAGTTTCCCCAGATGCACTCTGGGAGAGACTGAACCGATTGCTCCCTGAAGGTCAACAGCTGGAGCTCTTTACTGAGTGCTGACTGCCCAGGCCAGGGCTGTGGCAGGGCGTCCTTTCGGCGGTGAGGCAGGCTGTGTGCCTCGCAGGCACATGGTGACATTCAGACAGCAGGCCACGTGATGGACAGCAGTCGGGGGAAGGAGGGGGGCCCTGGAGTAGCGCAGAGCCAGGCCTGGGCACAGGAGGGCCAGTCACCTGGGGGCTGCCCCCACCCTCACAGCCTTTATGGGTGGGCCGATGGGATCCCAGCTCTGCTCCCTGCCACTGTGGGGTCTTGAGCAAGAACTCTGAGCCTCTCCCAGGACTGGAGAGTGCCAAGAAGGGCCCCTTGGGGGCTGTCCCCCAGGACTCTGCCCCACCCCACCCAGAGACCCACAACTCCTCCCTGTCTGACTGGACTCCTTCTTGCTGCGGCTGGGTCCACTGTGGCTCCGAAGAGGTAGGAGGTGAGAAGGTTGCCCAAAGAGGAAGGTGGGCTCCCACCCCAGGGTGGGGTCTGGGGGTGGGGAAGAGAAGAGTCAGGGAGAGATGGGGGAGTGGAGAAAGAGACAGGAGGAGGAGCTGAAGCCCAGGACAAGGATGGAGCCTCCAGAGGCCAAGGAAGATTGAACCTCTCTTTCCCAGATGCCCCCCACTCCCCTGCCTTCAGAGGGTCAGACACGTCACCCGCCAGGCAGTTGCCCTGCCTCCACTCCCCGCTGCATCCCCAGCACTTACAGTGCAGGGCCCAGGCAGATGGCAATCACTGTGCCCTGTCCACCCAGCACCGTGTTGGGGGTCAGGGAGCTCTTTACAGATGCCCAAGTGGCTGAGGGTGAGGACATCCCCGGGGAGCCGAGCCAGATGCCAACCTGGGGGAGCCCACCAACCCCAGCCCTGGAGGAGGCTTGGGGATGGATGGTCTGGTTCAGCCCACGTCCTCAGGGAGAGGACAGTGTCACACCACTTCCAGCCTGGGGCTGGGGGCAGGGCCGGAGATGCCCACTCAGGGATGCCCTGGAGGCCTGGTTTAGGGTGGACAGGCACACAGGGGAGGGTGGTTAGCAGAGGTCACGTCACTTCCTGCACCTCTCTGTGCCTCAGTTTCCTTCTCTGTACAGCCCTGCCTCGTAGGGTGCTGGTAAGGAACGAGGGAATGATTCTGGGGAAAGCTGGAGTGAGAGTACCTGGCACGTGGTAAGGGGTACACCAACTTTTGCCCTCACTGTCACCTGCTGTCACAGATGCCAAAGGACCAGGACAGCATCCCTCACATGGGAAAGCCTCAGGCAGTGGCATCTTAAACACGAAAACAGATCCATGGTCCAGGGTAACACCTCAGCCGCAGATGCCACCATGAGGGGCTCTCCTCCTCAGTAAAAGCAGCAGTGTGTGGGAGAGAGTGTGTGTCACCACCCGGGAGTGTGAGTCCACAGTGCACATCTGCGTGTGTTTGCACAGGAAACATCATGAAGACGATGGGAATGGGGACAGATAGTATCCTCTGCTTTGGGGATGTGGGTTCCACACTTCCCCCTTCTTTCTGGCCCTTCTGTGGTTCTAAGGATGAGGTGGTGTGGGGAGAGGGAGGTGGGGGTCCCAGTCCAGACCATGTAGGACCCTGGGCAAGTGGGCTGTTCCTGTGGTGGCCCCCCTGCTGTCCCCACCCTTGGAGAGGCGGAGCCCCTGTCAGCCCTCCGTCCAGGACAGGGAGGACTCTGCCCCCGATGTGCTGTGTGTCGGGAGGGAACTCCTGCACCTCTCTGGGCCTGACTCTGTGGAGTGAGGGAGGGGGAGGGCTGGCCCCCCAGGCCCTCTGTGACCTTGAGGAGGGCTCAGGATGTCAGCGGAGGCCCCTGGTTATGGGGCATGTGGGTCCAGCCAGCTCCCTCCTCTCAGGGCCTGCCCTCTCTTTCCCCTCACTGTGGCCCAAATAATTCAACCCCCAGAGCCCAGGACAGGGTGTGGGGCCCTGGGCACGGCCTCCCCTCCCAGAGCCTCCCCGAGGGGGTGGCTAATGTGTGGGCCCACAGCTCCAGGGTGCAGCCCTTGTCATCACTGGACTTCCGGGGCCTGCGAGGCCTTCCCTGGCCATGCCAGCGTTTCGGATCCTTTTCCTTTGCTTTGTCTTTTCTCCCAGTTCCCATCACTAACTGCTGCATGTTTCCGTACTTATCCTGTTTGGCTGACACCACTGTCCTGCCAGCTCCGTGACCTGGGGGCGGCTCCCCGGCATCAGGAGGGGCTGGGGAGAATCCAGCCAGGCCTGGCTGACCGCTGTGTCTGCAGTGCTGGAAACAGCACCGAGAGCGGGTGCCCCAGACTGTTGGCTGAGCGGAGGGAGCACCCAGTGTCCTCTACAGTCACCTGAGCGGGCAGCCAGCCTGGGCCGGCAGCTCTGGGGAACAGTGCCGCCAGCAGCTGTGTCCTGAGTGCCCACCAGTCCTCACTTCACTGTTGGCCAAGGCTCCACCCTCAGGCCCCAGGTCCTGTGCCAGGCCCTGATGGGGCCAAAGCTGCCCAGGGGCACCCAGTTCTGCAGCGCCCTCCTGGGAAACAAAGGCCCAGCCCTGCACCTTGGACCCTGGACCGGGGCCCAGTCAGGTCTGGGTGCTGAATGTGCCTCAGGCCCCAGAGGGCGGGTGTGGGAGAGGCCAGAGCCTAGAGTTCCCCAACAGGAGCCGGGCAGGCTGGGCCGGGCCCCCAAGGTAAGGGGATGAGGGGGACAGTCAGCACTCAGGGGCGCTCGGGCGCTGGTGTGGGGAACTCTGCCATCCTCACGTTGCCACCCTGGGACCCAGTGTCCAAGAGGAGGGTGGCGTCCCGCCTGGGGACACACGGCAGGGATGCTGATCTGGGTGGGGATCTCCGGGCCTCTAGCCTGGACCCATTCATCAGCGTGACCCCCACACCATTGCTGCTTTGCTCCCAGCCCCACCTCAGAGCTCCAGGGCCTGGGTTCCAATCCTGCCCCACCCACCACCAGGTGCATGACATGGGCCAGCAACGCCATCCTGTGCACGTCCCCACCCTGGCCTACCACTCACACCCAGGAGGCACAGGCTGCCTGTCCCTCAGCCCTGGTGTCCCGAGGGGCAGGGTGGCAGGCTGTGTTTTCAAAGGGGCTTTCCCAGATATGAAAAAGGCGTGAGTGGGCCGTGTCCTCCCAGTAGGACTCCCAGGACTCCATGTGCACGGGCTGCTGGTCTGGGCACACAATTGGCCTGGAAGGAGCCCAGGAGGTGTGATGGGGGCACCCTAGGGAGGGGGAGGGGCCTGCAGTCAGGCATCTGGGTAGGCTGGCCTGTCACTGGGGGCTCTTTTGAGTAGTTTGAATTTTTTACTGTGGGTGTGGAGCATGTACAACAAACAAAATTAAAAATGTAAGAAACAAACAGAGGGATTCTCCTAAGGGTAAAGAGAGAGGACAGGGTGGGGACACTGTGGGGGCCTCACACGGTAGCAGCCCCCTCCCCCACAGAAACTTCTCCATCTCGTGAAGTCTCTGGGTCAATCCTCACAGCAGAGAGGGGTTGCAGATGAGCATCTGAGGCTCAGAGAAGTTGAACAACCTATTTGAGGACACACAGCAGGAGCCAGGAGTCCCCAGGGACACTGCCCTGGCTTCTGCAGCAATGTGTGCTCTTCCAGGTGTCAGTCGTTTGCTCCTGTCCACGCTGGAGCTCCACTCCACGTGGCCAAGGGCACAGCCACAGCCACAGGCGTGGGCTAGGTGGTGACTCGACGCAGACTTGGACCCCAACTCTGACCTCAGCCTGGGAGTGCACAAGGACAGAAGCTGTCTGCAGCTAAGCCAGTGGGCCTTTATTAAGGGCCATCTGTGCGCTGGGGTGTTGCCTCTGGACCCCATGAACATGGGGAACTGTACCCCCTCCAGACCTCATCTCTTGGGACTCCTGGGATCTTACACGCCTTGCCCCCAACTCTACCCCGTATGTTTCATCTCAGCCTTTGTGGACCCTCCTGAGTGCCTGCTTCATGCTGGGTGCAGGGGATACTGTGGGTGGGACCTGGCTCAGCTCATGGAAGGGGCAGGCAGGGAAGGCTTCCTGGAGGAAGAGGGGCCTAAGCAAGGGTTATGGGATAGGTCAGATAGGCAGTGGAAACAGGAGCAGCCTGAGGCCCAGGTGAGGAACAGGCCATCCGCAGGCTGTTCCGCATCACTAGAACCCAGCGTGCTGGGCAGGCCTGGAGGGAGCCAGGGATGGCTGGAAAGGGCAGAGGGGCATGGTCTGAACTGAGTTAGGGTCCAGGAGGGGCCTCGACTGGGCAGGTGTGTGTGAGGAGTGCCCCTGGGACCCTGAGCACCACTGCTCAGCATGGGACACGGTGGGGTCCTCCTGGATCCTACAGCTGGCTAGGGCCCCAGAGCAGCAAGCTGCCAAGAGCAGTGAGCAGCACCAGGCTAATGGCAGCTGGCCGCAGGACGTGGGCCCCGCTGGCGTTGCAGAGGTCAGTGGAGCAGCACGTGACATTCTTCTCGCCTGCATAGTAGTTCTGTGAGTCATCCACACAGGCCGAGCTGCACCCCTTGCTGATGACGGTCAGGAGGCCAACAGCACCTGGAGGGGGCAATGAACCACTGGGATAGGCCGGGTCTTGGATGTTCACCTACCTGGCCTTGCTCCAGCTCCCATGCCCCCTCCTGTCCCCCTCTAACCAAAACCCTAGAGTCACCCTGAGTCAGCCTCAAGACTATGAGCAGTGTGAGGGCAGGGGCCTGGTCTCATTCGTGTCCACATGACCAGGGCAGCCAGACCTTCTGCTGGGCACTAGAAATATTTAATGAATGAGTGAATGCATGGATGGATGGGTAACTGACAGATGGATAGATGGATGAGTGATGGATGGGGGGGTGGATGGATGGATGAGTGATGAAGCGGGATGGATGGGGGATGGATGGATGGACGCATGGGGGATGGATGGAGGCATGAGTGATGGATGGAGGGAGGAGTGACGGATGGGGGGATGAATAGGTGGCTGAGGGATGGGGATGGATGGATGGGAAGCTGAGCACCTCTGTCTGTGTGTGGATAGGTGGACAAGTGGGCAGGTGGACAGACAGAACAGTTCAGTGGCAGAGACCTAAACCCAGGTTCTCTGAGTCCCTACCAACAGAGGGAAGGTGCAGGGAGTCTGAGGGGAGGGTGCAGGGGGCAGGCCAGGGCCACTCCCAGCCCAGGGAGGGCTGGGGTAGGACTGCGGGGACTTCAGGGCCACTCACGGATGTACTCAGTCCGGCACTGGGTCTCGGAGCTGGTGCAGTTCTGCACGTTCTGGCAGTCCTGGTTCTTCACCTGGGCTGTGCAGGAGTAGCACTGCAGGGCGGTGCCTGTGGAGGGGGGTGGCTCAGAGGCTGCCCAGCCTGCCCACCCATGGGGCGAGGAGTGCTGTCTGGCCCCTTCCAGGCTGCTGGAAACGTGAAGGAGCAGCTGGGAACAAGAACCTGCCGCAAACTTGGACACCCCTCACCAGGAGGGTACTGCACTCGTCAGAGTCCACCCAGGGCAGCCCCCTGCCCACTCCCTGTCACGGTGCCTGGAACCCACCAGCAATGTCCCGGCCTGCTGCTGAGGGTTTTAAAGCCCCATTGAGATGCCCACGCTCCTGGGAGGAAGGTAGTGACGAGCCTCAGCTTGGGGACTGGCTGACCCCACCCAGCAGCTGGTCCCGCTGGGCACCGGGCAGGTGAGGGCAGGGTGGCCAGGATCCTTCCTGGAATTTTCCATGCCACCAGGCATCAAGACCCTCCCATCCTTGTCCCTAATAGCCTGTGCTATGAGACCGGGGTGGCCCCGGGCCTGGTCCTGCTTTGTCCCTGGGGTAATTGCTTCAGCTGTCATGATGATTAGGTCTCCCCTTGGTCAAAACAATCATGCTACCGGATCCAATCACCTCAGTGCCAGTAGGGCTCCATGCCACCAGCCCTGTGCTCATCACCACACACACTGGGGACCCTTGAGGTCCCTGGGGGCCAATGTTGTGATTCCCATTTTCCAGAAGAAGCAGCTGAGGCTCTGAGAGGTTTAGTAATTACCCAGGGACCAGGAGAGACCAAGCCAGGCCTGGAGTCCAGACTCAGCCCGGGCACCAGGACCCGGTCCTCTCAGGACCACTCCCAGCCCTGCCCCCATTCCAGTCTTCCCGCCTTCCCTCTGTGGCGCTTCTTAACTTGAGGCTTTTTGCCCCTGTGCCTCCCACCCCGCCACAGGTTCTCTGTGCCTCTGTCTGTCTGTCCGCACCTCCAAGAGCCAGACCCTGCCCCACGGTGGTGGAGAGACACCTGTGCTGCCCACCTATGTCTGCCTTGGGAGACAGCTGGGGGCCGACCGCGGGGTGAGTCCGACTGCATCCTGGCTGCTCCAAGAGCTGCCCCGGAGGGGACGTGGGCAACGAACACCCCTCCTTCCCGCGGCTGCCTCCCTTTCCTTCCACCTGACCTCCCTCCTCCCTATCCCACTCCTCCTCCTCTCTCTGCCCTCTGGGCTGGGTTCCCTCTCTGGAAGCCCCTCTGGCCTCCCTCGATTGCCCCCACCCCTGCTCCCCCGGCCCTGCCCCGTGGCCGGCCGAGGTCTCACCTGGCTGCAGGGCCAAGCCAGTGAGCAGCAGGGCGAGGAGGACAGCCTTCATGGTCACAGGCAGACAGTGGTGGAGCGGACCTCAGGGCGGCTTTATATAGCTTCAGCCCGCAAGACAGAGGCTTGGTGGTGCGAGGCCGGCACGAACAGGTTCCCGGGGCAGTGAGTACCTGAGGGTGGGGCAGATCCCAATCTCCGGCTGCCCCGCCAGGCTGCACCCTCCCACTCCCTTTGTCCTTCTTTCTGCTTCCAGAAGGCAGAGCCTGCCCAGGGCAGGGGCCACACTCCTCACCCGCAGCTATTTCTCAGCCACCCCAGGAGGAGGCCCAGGTGACACCTCTGCCTTCTCAGAGCAGGCAGCCAGGCCAGGGAAGGGGGACCCCCTTCTGGAGACTCGTTCACTCCTTCAGTCTTTAAGCCAAGACTGAGGGGTGCCTCCTTCAGGCCCCCCTGTTCTCCTTTGCCCTCCTGGGGCTCACAGCCCTGCGGGCGTGACAGCCTCTGATCAAACATCACAGACATGTCAGCACGGACCTCTGCCATCAAGAGTGCAGGCTACAGAGAGGGCACCCCGGGGACCGTTCTGGGGCTGTGCCTTGGAGGCTGACAGGGCGCTGGTGCCTCTGAGGCACACAGGCCTGGAGCATCAAGTGTGCGCAGGTCCCTTGGGACCTTACTTAAGCCCCACGCAATGCGGAGCTTTAGCTGTGAGGGAGTCAGGGAAGCGCGGAGTTTGTGGCCTCTGCTGTGGGAGGAGGCAGAAGGGAGTTGGCCCTGGGGTGGGCATTCTCTGTCTGGACCCCAGCCACTCTCCAGCCTGCTTTGTGCCCTGGGATCCCACAAGGATTCCAAAAGGGCTTCCATCATCCAGAGACCTGAGGGTGGGAGGTTCAGAGGTCAGGCCATCTCTTCTGGCCACCCTGACTGCTGGACCATGGTGGCAGTGGCTGTGTCCCTGCTGGCCAGCCTTCTCCTGTTGTGCCAACTCTGGCCAGCCTCTGCAGCTCTTCTTTCTCTCATCCCCCGAAGCCCAGGGGGCCATTGGCTTCCAGCTGCTGGTAGCCTGGGGCCATTAGAGGTCCCTGATGACCCTCTCGACCTGATCCTCCCTTTGGAAAACAGTCTCCCCAGGACCCCTTGTGGTGCCTGGCCATGCCCGCTGCCTGCTGGCCCAAGTGTGTCTGAGGGACCACACGCCCCTCCCACTTGGGAGGAAGAGTTCCTTTTATTTCCCAATGCCCTTCTGGCCCTGTGGATGGCATCTCTGACCTGCATCTTACTCCCTGATCCTTGATTTCCCCCTGGAAAAGGGCCCTGGGGATGTCAGGGGTGGTGAGGGTGCCTGGGCAGTGGGGCAAGGCCAAGGGGCAGGTGATCCCTCCAGTGGGGGAATGGCTCCCATCTTCTCACCTTGAGCCCTGGAACAAGATGATGCGCCATGTGGGCCAGGGGTGACCTAAGACCCAGCTCTCCCTGCATCTCACAGCACCTCTGGGGTCTCCTCTGCCAACCCCTTGGCACCCTCCAGGTTGGGCTCTTCCCATGGAGATTGTCTCTCTGTAGGAGGTGAGGAGCCTGGGGCCCAGAGAGGGGCAGGAACTTGCTCAAGGTCACACAGAGGTGAGTGTGGCCCCTCTGCCAATGCGCCTTCCTTACCCACTCTGCCCACCTGGAACTTTCTCTCTGAAGACCCCCTCCAGCCCACAGTCCCAAAAGCTCAGGTGCCTCAAACAGTAAGTAAAGTGTCTGTGACCTCACCGTTTCTGTGGGTGGCCTCCTGCCTGTCTGTCCCCCACACCCAGCTCGCTGGGATTGGAGGCTCTCTGGACCGGAGCCTTTCTTATCTGTCTTTTTATTCAAGGCACCCAGCACCTAGCACCAGCCTGGAACATTCATTCCTCAAATATTGACAGGCACATAAGTGTTTGTTGATCTGATTTGATATGAAGTGATTACTCTAAGGCAGTGGTTCTCAAACGGGGATGCTTCTGTGCCACAGGGGACCTTTGGAGATGCCTGAAGACATTTTCAGCGTCCCAGCATGGGGTTGCTCCCGGCTTTCAGTGGGTACAGGCCAGAATGTGCTCATCATCCTGTGGAGCACAGGACGCCTCCGATGACAGAGAGCCACCCGGCCGGGTGTCAGGCAGAACCGTGGGCCCCGCGCAGAGCTGTGGGGATGACGCTGCCAGCCTGGTGGGTCTGGAGGGCAGGGGATAAACCAGCAAGATTGCTCTTGAGCCTCCGGGTCTCACGGACTCTGCCTCGCTGGGCTGGCTTGAGACCAGCCACCCCTTTCTTCCTTCTGATTTCTCCCTTTTGGCACGAGGATGTCTCTCCTGGGCCTGTCCCTCCCACCTTTGTATTTTGGACGCACATAACTTGTCTGGTTTCACAGGTTTGTGGCTGAAGAGGAATTCTGCCACAGGATGAGTCACACCTGCACTCCGCCTATTGGAGCCACGTGACGCTCGGATGGGACCGGGCTTTAGACGTTAGAGCTGACGCGGGAGTGAGTTAAGACTTTGGGCTGTTGGGATGGAATGTTTCTGCGTGTGAGCAGGACAGGAATTTGAAGGCCAGGCACGGAATGCTATGGCCTGAATCGTGTCCCCCCCACAGTTCATAATTTGAAGCACTGACCCCAACGTGAGGGTGTTTGGAGGGGGGTGACTGGGGTTAGATGAGGTTGTGAGGGTGGGCCCCCATGAGGGGATCAGTGTCCTCAAAGAAGAGACTCCAGAGCTGCTCTCGGCCACATGAAGACCCAGCGAGAAAGGGCCATCTGCGACTGGGAAGCGAGTCCAGCCCGGAGCCCGACCATCCTGGCAGCCTGGTCTCAGACTTCCTGCCCCAGAGGGCAAGAGAGATGTTTCTGCTGTTTATGTCACTCGGTCTGTGGGGTTTTGTTATGGCAGCCCGAGCAGACTGAGACAAATGGCCTAATGGCCACAGTTCAGATCTTAAAGACCACGGCCAGGACGCCCCGAGAGACAGGTGCGAAGCCCCTCCTGACCAGAGGCTGAGCTCTGACCTCAGCCCAAAAGGGAGCCCTCACTAGGGTCATAGTGTGAGCTTTGACCCTGTCACCAAATAAGCTCTGATCCTGGTCACACTCTGAGCCCTGACCCTGGTCACACTCTGAGCCCTGACCTTGGTCACCTTCTGAGTCCTGATCCAGGTCACACACTGAGCCCTGACCCTGGATACACATTGAGTTCTGACCCTGGTCACATGCTGAGCCTCATCTCCTGTCACTCATGCTTTGAGCACACACTGAATACAGCCCCTGAGCCTGGATCCTCTGGTGGTCCCACTTTCTGGGAAAGTCTGTCACAAAGGGGCACGAGTCCCTGCTGTCACTCCATGCAGTGGACAGGGTCTGGGCATAGCTTTGACGTGACTCAGCCTTAGCCTTCTTCCTTTCCTCTGCTCTGCAGTCACCTCTTGAACTCCAGATTTTCTTGTTCTCTCTTGACCTAGCTACCTGTCCAACCCCTGAGGCCCCAAACCAGTTGGGTTCCCTGGAGAGCCTGCCTGTTCACACGGCCCAGGAGTTTCCCCACTCTTTGCAGGGTGTGAAGCTGGGGCTGGAAGGACCAGCAGTGGGGCCAGGCCCTGGGGGCAGCAAGGCAGCTGGAGGCAGACCCGTACCTCACAGGGGGTCCTTGCTAACAGAGGACCATGATCTCCTGGGGCTGCCACACAGTCCCACACTGGAAGAGACATCATTTTTGGATTAGTTCTTTATTTTATGCAGAGTTCACTTTAAAAAATAAAGATGGTGCATTAATTGGAAAACCACAACTGATTTCACCTTCCACTTTTGTGTCTTTTCCTTTAGGAGAGTCCAGTCAGAGATCCAGAGGGTCATCCGTGCACTGCCAGGCCACTGATAGATGGGGGAGAGCATCCTCGGTGCCAGACCCTCCATTTTGGGTTCTCAAAATTAAGGCCATGTCTTGCAAGCTGTGTCTTGAGGAAACTGAGTCCCATGAGGGCCCTGGGAGTCCGTGTCCCACCCTGGTTCACCATGGCTGAGCTCCCACAGGCCCCGTCCTGGGTGCCAGCCTGTCTCTAAGTCCCCAAGGGCCCTGCATCCCATGGGAGGCACTTCTTCCTGGTTCTCATAGAGGCATCCTATGGACCATCAGTGGCTCTGCCCTAAACCTGCTCCCCCTGGCCCCAGCACCAAGGTGGCGATGGGCCCACGCCCTCCTCAGACCCCGGCCTCCCAGCCTCAGCCCCTTGCTGGGCCCTTCCCCCTCTGGCGTCTCTCGGAGCTGTCCCCCTCTCCCCATGCTCCTCCCTCCTGAAGTGAAGTCAGCATGCCCAGGAGACCATAGCCCGCCTCAGGCGGTCCTCTCTCTGCCAGCCGGGCGTGGGCTTCACAGGTACCATCCGCCCGGAAGCCAAAGACCCCTCTTTGCTGTGAGAGACTCACCACCCCAAGACCTTCCCTCTGGGGGCTGGATAGTGATGTCACCCCACCTGAGGCCCCCAGGACCTGGGTGAGGGGCTCTGCTGGGTCCAGCGCCACCTCCAGGTGAAGGGCTGCAGGTAGAGGGACAATGTGCACAGAAGGAACTCCAACGGGCTTGGAGCAAGACGGTGAGAGCCAGACCTGGTGTGGCCTGCTGGCCTAATGAGGACCCTGCCATGGAGTGCCCTGGGAAACCAGGGGTAGGGCAGGGCAGGGATCTGCTCACACTGACCCTCTCAAAGACCACTCCGGCTGTGCAGGGGGATGGGGACACCAGTCGGGAAGGGGGCTGTTGTGGTGCTCCAGGCGTGGTCTGGGGGCTCAACCTTGTGCATTGGGGGGAGGGGAGCCCTCAATGCCAGGCCCTAGGAGACACCAGTGGATGTTCTTCCTTCTCTTCTTTTTCTGACCCCTTCCTTTCTGCCAGAGTGGACTCAGTCTTTGAGATGAGGCCTGAGGGTCCCAGAGTGATGGTGGGAGCATCTGGGGAGCCCCATGCATCTTGGGGTTGAACCGCAGTTCCCTGCTGAGCCCCAGGCCCCTGTCAGCACCATGAAGGTGCCCGGGGTGGGGGGTGGTGGGGTGTGTGCACATGATCCCGTGTCCATGAGGTGGCAGCAGAGTGTCATACACAGGGATGAAGCCAGCCTCCTGGTGCCACCTTGCTGTCCCAGGAGACCATTCTAAGGGACCGCCAGTCCAGGAGTCCTGGGTTCCAGTCCCATCCATGCATGCTGTGCTTGGTGCCCCGTTTCCTCCTCTGTCAAAAACACCTGACTCGAGCATGCCCAAATTGCTGGCCCACAGTACGTGTACCATAAAACGGTTGCTGTTCCAAGCCATGAAGTTTCGGGGTGCTTTGCCATGCAGTGGCAGATGGCTGATCAGAGGGGCAGGGGCAGAAGCGAAGACCAGGGAGGGAGCAACTGCAACATCAGGGGGCTTGGGCCAGGCGGAGAGAACTGGCAGGAGTGAGAAGAGGTCAGAGGTTGCATGGATGTGGAGGGCAGAGCCAGGCAGAGCTCGTGGTCCACTGGGTGTGGGGTGTAAGGATGACTCTGAGGTTTTGGCCTGAGTGAACGGAAAGGTGCAGTTGCCACTCACTGGGATGGGGAGTGTGTAGACAGAGTAAGGCTGGGCAGGAGGATCAGCAGCTCAGGTTTGGAAATGCTGGTTTTGGGGTACCTGGTAGAAGGCTACATGGGGATGCTGGGTAGGGCATAGGAGTCTAGAGGTCACGGGAAGGGTCCTGGGAGGAGACATGAATTCGGAAATTCTCCGTCTTTGCTGGTATGTAAAGCCATCAGACTGGAGGAGAGCAGGGAGCCAAGGAGTGAACCTGGCCATTAGGAATCAGCAGGGGAGGGTGAGTAAGGAGGACCGAGGTGGGGCGGGGCGGCTCGGGGGAGGGGTCCTGGGAGCCAAGGGAAGAAAGTGAAAGAAGGAGGAGGGAACTATGGAAATTCATCTTAGTTGCTGCTGTAACAAATGACCATGAACGTGGGGGCTGAAAACAGCACACATTTATTAGCTTACAGTTCTGGAGGGCAGAAGTCTGAAATGAGTCTTATGGAGCTAAAACCAAGGTGTCAGCAGGGCTGGTTCCTTCTGGAGGCTCCAGGAGAGAATCTGTGTCCTCGCCTTTTCCAGCTTCTAGAGGCTCCTGCTCTACTTGGCTTGCGGCCCTCCCCTCACCTACAAAGCACACGCTCTAACCCGTGTCTGTTGTCATCTCTCCTTTTCTCCCGCTGCTCCCATCATCGCATTGTCTTCTCTGACCCTGATACTCCTTCTTCCCTCTTATGAGGACCCTGTCATGACAGCGGGCCCACCAGGATCATCTTCCATCTCAAGAATCTCAATCGCACCTGCAAAGTCCCTTTGTTGTGTATTCACACATTCTGGGTTTAGGGTGTGGACATCCTTGGGCAGAGCATTATTCAGTCCACCACAGTCTGTCCTCTGGTCCCCAAAGATTCATATTCGTCACACAAGCAAAATACATTCACCCATCCCAGGGTCCCCCAAAGTCTCGACTCATTACAGCATCAACTCAAGCCCAGGTCTCACCAGCTCAGAAGCGCTGCATCTCATCGTCCAGGTCGTCTCAACTAGGGATGGAGGAGGCGCCAGCGAAGCAGCAGGACGGGCAGGAAGAAAACAGCCTTGGCCACTGGCTTTCGCCACGGGAAGGGGCTAAGTCACTGCCCGTCCCCCGTCGGGAACCCCCACCTGGAAGGGGGTCCTGTCGGGGGCACAAAGCCCAGTCGGCCTCCCGCCCAGCCGCGCCCAGGACTCCCAGAGCCCCCACTCCTTCCCAGGGTTCCACTCATCGCAAAACCCGAGACTCCCACCCTGCAGACGACCACGTCGAGGCGCAGACCGCCCCCCGGCCCCGGCCATCCCCGCGAGGATCTCCCGCCCCGGGGCCCAGCGCCTCCCGTAGCGCCACCGAGAAGCGAGTCCTCCGGCCGCCTAGAGCGTCCCGGAAGTGGCTGGGGAAGGCGGAGAGGCGCGGACCGGCGGAGGGCGGAGCGGGAGCGCTTCCGGCGGCGGTGGCGGCTCGCAGGTGAGTGGAGCCCGAGCGCAGGGCGGTCCTTGCTGCCCGCGGCGGCGGGCGGCTTCCCCGGCCCACATCCCGCCCGGCCCGCCAGGGCGCCCCGAGGTCGCGCGTCGTCCCGCGCCGCAAGCCCGCAGGGACCCCTGGGCTCTGCGGACAGCAGGACGCGGCCCCCGGGGAGCCGGAGCGAACCTCGGCGTGGTTTTCCCTCTGCATTGGCCCCCGCCCCCCGGCGTGCGCCCCCACTCCGCCAGACCCGGCCGGGCGGACGCGCTTTCCGGACGGGCCTCTCCCGGGGCGGCATTCCCTCGGCGCGGCGCGGGCCCCGCGGAGGACGCGTCTGTGCGGGCCCCCCCACCCGGGAGCGCCCTCGCGGGCTCTCCCCGCAGCGGCACGCCCCGGCGTGTCGTCCCTACTCAAGGACCCCCGTCCTCTCCAAAAGACTTGTTTCTCGGCCTTTCTCCCTGATAGTCCCGGTAAATGGGGTGAAAACAGGGACCCTAAAGCTGACCCGAGACTGACCCGAGAGAGCAAAAGGACGCCCAGCGCTGGCCCGTGACATGCCTGGAATTTGTCTTTGGGACTCTTGCTACATTTCAATAAACTTTTCATTTCTATTGAGTTGTGGTCTCAAAGGGCTACTTTTTAATGCTCCACGTAGGAGTAGTCCTGTGGTCTCACCAGTTGCAGGAAGTTGGAAGAAGTAGCCACAGTAAGGATCTGGGAGGCGGGTGAGGTGGGGCGGCCCTGCTGGAAGCGCATCCGTGAGTGCTGCGGACCTTTGGCGGTGTGGGCCGTGATGGGCACAGGCAGTGATGGGTTCAGTGGGGTGGTGTGGATGTTGGTTGGGTGGTCTGCAGTCCTTCCCGGGTGAGAGAGGAGAGGGAGGGAGGGGGCGCAGCTGGCTGTGAGGGGGGGACAGGATTGTCACAGCAAACAGTGCTGAGCCGGGCAGCAGCTCCTCACACCTCCCAGGCCAGAGGCGAAGCGTGCGGGTCTGTGATTCTTGCTGGCTGCCCCCGCCAGCAAGGATGCATCCACTGTGCCCTGTAGGTCTGCCCATGGCACAGGGGGAGGTGGACATTTTGGGGAGGTTGTTATCAAAGGATGGACTTGTTCAGCCGGAAGGAACCACAGTGGCCCTGATCTTTCCCCAGAGGAAGGATGAGAACATACTGGAAACACTGAGAGAGACACATTGGGTGAGACCTGCGGGGCTCGTGTGAAGTCGCTTTCCTTTGTATGATCTTACTAACTGTAACCAAAGGTGTCTCTGTAAACTTAAACACAGAGTTTATTACTTAAAAGTTACAAAGCTGATTCAGCAAGAATGCCCTGCTCTCAGCGGGGCCACGAGACAATTCTCATGTTCTTGTTTCCAGCATGAATTAGTGATTTGTTCATAGAGCATTCTAGACTAATGAGTACTTAGGAAGCCCCTGCTCTGGTCTGGCCCTTTTACTGTGTCCGCTGAGTGTGTGCATGCACGTGAGGGTGGGTGTGAGTGTTGTGTGCACACTCACTTGGGAGAGTGCACATGGGAGCAAGTGTGAGTGAGTGTGTGTGTCCAGAGACATCCTAGAAGTCTGAGTGTGTCTGTGGGGGCTAGTTGGTTGTTGGGAGACTGACAGCCCCTCCCAGCTCTGGGAGGAGCCTGCTGCCCGTCCAGGCTTAGTTTTCTGGAATCTGTTTGGGGACTGCTGTTTAAGGGGGCTTTGAGGAGACCCACCCCAGGTGGAGTTTGAGGAGCCTTGTTCCAGAAGAGGCTTGTAGGCTCCCCAGCCCTGGAAGATTTTGAGGAATTCCTGCTCCCCGCAGCACCTTCATCCCTTTCCTTGGCTGTTTTAGAAGGAACAAGGGGTTTGTGAAGCTGGTTAGGTCAGAGAAGTGGCTCTTCGGTTGCCCAGTGCCTGCGACTTCCTGGCTTTGTTCAGTGGCTTCTTCCTTAGTGTTTTCCCCAGGAAGGCCAGGTTGCTCCTGCAAGAGCCACTTTTAATTTGGAGCCATAGCAAGTGACTCAGGTCACTTGGTGGAAGCTCGGAAGAGCTGGTGTGTCCAGCATGTCAGGGGCTGGGCCGAGAGCTGTGCAGCCCCCCAGACACCACGTTGCTTGCTGGCCAGCTCACATGTTGGTTGTCTCTACAACACTTGTTTCAGCTGCAGCTCCCTGGTGTGTCCCAGGCGGGAGGCCCTGCTTACGAGTGGCCTGGGCGCGTGCTGTAATGGTTTTCTTCCTTCCCTCCTGCTTTCCAGCCCCTGAAGCACCATGCGTGTGAGACAGCACTGTGCACCCAGCAGAGAGGAGCCCACAGCTCAGACAGGAAGACCTCAGCTGACCTGAAACCAGCTCCCCACGTCCCTCTGCTCTCTGGTCTGTGTCTGAGGGGAGAAGCTGTCACTGTCCCTGCAGAGAAGGCCAGAGGTTCCAATAGTGTGGGGGAGTCCAGGGGTAGTGTGACACTGGTCGCCTCCCCCGCAGAGAGGCCCAGGAGCTGCCACGTTACTAGAAGCCTGGAAGACGAGGGACAGCTGAGGCAAGAGGTTGCTGGAACTAGAGGGGGGAACAGAGGAGGAACTGTGGCTCCTGGTGGCCCAGGATATCAGCAGAACGAATCGAAGAAGAGTGGAGAGAGAAACTGAGCGGGGAGAAGGACTGAGAGGAAAGGAGGAGAGGCAGCAAGCCCACCAGGATCTGCCCGGGTGCGTTTCCCCCGGCCACCGGGACAAGCCACCCCGCACATGGCCTCCAAGCAGGCTGCCGGGAGGAGCCCCGGGGAGAAGCGCAAGAGGGTGGTGCTGACCCTGAAGGAGAAGATCGACATCTGCACGCGCCTGGAGAAGGGGGAGAGCAGGAAGGCGCTGATGCAGGAGTACAACGTGGGCATGTCCACCCTGTACGACATCAAGGCCCACAAGGCCCAGCTGCTCCGCTTCTTCGCCAACTCCGACTCCAACAAGGCCCTGGAGCACCGGCGCACCCTGCACACGCCCAAGCTGGAGCACCTCGACCGCGTCCTGTACGAGTGGTTCCTGGTGAAGCGCGCCGAGGGCGTGCCCGTCTCCGGTCCCATGCTCATTGAGAAGGCCAAGGACTTCTACGAGCAAATGCAGTTAACCGAGCCCTGCGTGTTTTCTGGCGGGTGGCTTTGGCGTTTTAAGGCCAGACACGGCATTAAAAAGCTGGACGCGTCCAGCGAAAAGCAGATGGCTGACCACCAAGCGGCCGAGCAGTTCTGTGGGTTTTTCCGGAGCTTAACTGCTGAGCACGGCCTGTCCCCTGAGCAGGTCTACAACGCAGATGAGACCGGCCTATTCTGGCGGTGCTTGCCAAACCCCACCTTGGAAGGCGGGGCTGCACCCAGCACCAAGCAGAACAAGGACAGGCTGACTGTCCTTATGTGTGCCAATGCCACGGGCTCCCATAAGATCAAGCCCCTGGTGATCGGGAAGGGCAGCGGCCCCAGGGCTTTCCGAGGCATCCAGCACCTGCCTGTGGCATACAAGGCCCAGGGGAACGCATGGGTGGACAGGGAGATTTTTTCCGATTGGTTCCGTCACATCTTTGCGCCCTCGGTGAAAGAGCACTTCAGGACCCTGGGCTTGCCCGAAGACAGCAAAGCCATCCTCCTGCTGGACGGCTCCCGGGCCCACCCGCAGGAGTCCGAGTTGGTTTCCGATAACATCTTCACCATCTTCCTGCCCGCCGGCGTGACCTCCTTGATCCAACCCATGGACCAGGGCATTCGGAGGGATTTCATGAGGCATTTCATCAATCCCCCACTCACGCTTCAGGGCTTCCAGCCCCGTTACAACGTGAATGACGCCATTGTCAACGTGGCCTGTGCCTGGAACGCCGTGCCCAGCGACGTATTTGGCCGCGCCTGGGGGAAGCTGTGGCCTACAGGGACACTGGCCGAAGGCTCGTCTTCTGAGGAAGAGCCCGAGCGCCTCAGAACTAAGCCTCATGCCCAGACCTTTGCCCACGTCCTGGAGCCAGGCAGCAGGCTTCCCCGGGGTGCAGCCGCCGCTCAGGGCGGGCCTGCACAGGTGGCTGGAGAGGGGCGACCCGCTGTTGCAGGCCCAGCTCTGGCCGTGGGGAGTCCGGAGCAGGCCGAGGAGGAGGGCGAGGAGGCGGCCTGGGAGCAGGCGGCCGTGTCCTTTGACGCGCTCGTGCGCTTTGCGGAGAGGCAGCCCTGTTTCACGGCGCAGGAGGCCGGGCAGCTGCGTGCGCTGCGCTCCGTCTTTGTGCGGCAGCGCCAGGAGAAGCGGCGACCACCAGCTCCTGGTGCCATGGTCAAGCTCGAGGTCCCCCAGGACATGGCCTGCTCCTCCACGGCGGGCAAGAACTGACCGCCGGCGCCCTCCACGGCGCAGTGTGCTGCAGGGCCCGCGCGAGCGGGAGCTTCCCCACGAAGGTGGGCGTTGCCCTGGGCGGTCTCCTTACTCGGGACAGCCCCATCCCCCACATTGCAGTTAACCCAGGTGTCACAGTGATACCTGGCCTGTCTGGTGAATGGGAGGAGATGTTCTGGAAGGGCCCACCCAAACCTAAAAAACATACCAGAGCCTCCTATGGCTGGATCCCAGCGCCAGGTTGGGCAGTGTTCACTGGCTGAGCCTTGCTGTGTCCGAGGGTGGAGATGTCTGTCCGTCTATCTGTCCTAGAGGAGACAAGGAGAAAAGCTGACCCTCAGGCCAATTGATGTGATGGCAGTACATGCCACCACTTGACAGGGCTGGCGTTTTCCAGGGCCGCCTCTCCCCCCACTCGGGGCTCGGTCTGCTGGTCTGGCGTCCATGTCTGTGTTACATAGTCCTAGCGGGCAAGGGCCAGGACTCACTTTATGACCTCGGGTCAGTGTAGTCCCCTGCTCCTGGCTTTACAGGCAACCTGTCATCTCCTGTTCACATGTCCCCACCTCAGATGTGGTCTCACTTAGCAGCACAAGTCTCTCCTGGAAGTTCCTCCACATTGCCAGCAGATCCGCCTCTCGGGGCTCACACCCCAGGGTGTGGTGGGCCGCCTGCTGGCCTGACCTGATAGAGTCGCTTCCCGTAAAGTGGGTCGCCCTGATGGAGGGCCCCAGGCACTGCCGGTATTTCCCGAGTCGTGGCTCAGAGTCCAGTGTATGGTCCGCTCTACCACATTCCCCGGAATTTCACGTTTACGGCGTTTACACAAACAAATCTTGATCAGGCATTTGGAAATCAGTCTTAGGTATGCATGTGCCCAACAGAAATGGCGAAGTAAGCTGCCAGAGTTCTAGCAGGATTTGGACTTTCATTTGCAGCTGTTTACGGCTTACTCACAGGGACAAGCTGGCTATCCTGGTGGGTTTGCAAAGGCCGGTCCTAGGAAGACACGATGCTTCCTCACCCGCCTGGAGCCGTGACCACAGGAGGCCCTGTTGTCGTGGTCACCCTCCTCGAACGTACCTGAGTTGGGTGTATTTTTCTGTGTTCTTTTCACCGCCTTACCCTTGAATTCCACCCCCTTCTTGAGTTCACGTCACGGCAGCTGATTGGGCCTATTGTTTTATTCTGTTCGCTGTTATTCTGCCAAGAGACCTTTGTTCCCATGAGAGCCGAGGGCACTCGGGTTTGGTTTGCAGCCCGGTTCTCTTGTCTTTCTCCATCTTTCCACACACTGGGGTGCTGGCCACGGCTGCCGTGGCACTGTGCCGTGGAGCGCCTGTGTTCCTGCTTCCAGTGAATGTGTGCAGACGGTGGAGGAGGCACGGGCCGGTTTATAAGTCTCGTCTCCTTCACTGTCTGGGTGACATCTGTGCACTGTGTACTTCTGTGCCACTTCGGGACTCATGTCCCCCTGCTGTTGAATTGCAGCTGCTTGAGGTGTCACAGGGAGTTAGATGTCAGAGTCGTGGGAGAGGCTGCCCTCGGTGGTGGCAGCATGGAGTGGCGGATGGACGTGCTGAGGAGCTGCCCCCCACGGTCAGCCCCTGAGCCCACCCCAGCAGTTTTCGAGCAGTAGGACTTTGCTGGGTGGAGGGAGCCAGGGGAAGGGTTCCTGGCTGGCTCTCCTAGGTCCCCTGTGGACCGTTTGTTCTGATCAGACTGTAGACCCCAGGCTGGATGCTTGTCGTGACCTCACGACCTGCCCCTGTCCTGGCTATGTTGTGGCCGATCAATAAACACTTGTCCACGGCCAGCTGAGGGGTGTCTGTGCTCAGGGCGCTCCTGCTTCCAGAACCCGCTGCAAAGCGCGGCTCCAGCTCCTCGGGAGGTTCTTGGCGGAACAGAACTCAGCCCTTCTCGCCTCCATCTCCCCTAAGGAGCCAGCACGGCCTCCTCCTCACATGGCGATCTGGGCGGAGTGGGAGTTGTTGTGTAAGTGAGCTGCGAGTGCTCGCAGAGGCCCGGCTGCCCGGGAGTGTCCATCCCCCTAGCGTCCGTCCCCAGGTGCTCTGCTCTTCGCTTACATCTGGTTTCTGAGATGCTCAAGTGGCCAGAATGCTTTAGCCTCAAAATCTTTTTGCCCAAAGAATCTTAGGTGGAGCCCCACGGGGCTGGAGGGGAAATCAGAGCCGGGTGGGACCTCACCCCCTCCCTCCCTCTCCAGGGCTGCTGAGGCCCCTCAGGAAGCCCAGGGCTCTCTGGAGCAGAGCATGGGGACGCCTCCCCATTCCCAGGGAGCGCCCAGCCCAGGGCCCCTCCCCCTGCAGCTTGCACTGGCAGGGTCACCGGTGCTGTGTCGTGGCAGCTTCTCCACCCCCCACAGAGCCTCTTCCCACCCCTGTGCTCGCTGGGTGCGGTGAGAAGGCCGCTCCTCCCATGCACTTAGGACCTCAAGTGCACGTCTGTGTCCAGTCACCTGGGGAAGGAACCTCCATGGGACACGCGCCGCGTGCCCGCCCTCCTCCCCAGGCAGCAGCACCAGTGCACCTGTACAGGACCCAGAGTCGTCCCTGTTCAGGACTCGGCGGGCCCCCTCCTAGGTCTCTGCCCACCTCAACCGTCCCCCTTCTCAGTGGCCAGAACGACTCTGCAGACCTAGAGCGGGGAGGGAACTGCCCACGGCCACACGGTGTCCTCAGCAGTGCCAGGGTGGGAACCGGTCTCTCCTCCGCACAGCGTGAGCAGTTGGGCTGTCTCTGGTGCTGGGCTGGCCGGAGGTGGCAGCTGCTTCCTGTTGAGTGAATGAGGGACATTGTTTCCTGGGCGTTGCCTGCAGCCCTGGGGCCCAGGGAAGGGAGACCAGAGTCTGATGGGAGAGGCAGGGCCTCCATGACTCGGCGCAGGCAGCCTCTGGCCAGGAGCTCCCCATCCCTGAGTGTGGCTGATGAGTTAAAATGCTGCTTTAGAAGACACTCAGTGTGAAAGGAAGCTGCAGACGAGGAGCAGAAAGACCCAAGAAGGTGTCGTGGCTGTGCCCTGGGGTCCCTGTCCCACCCCAGGACCGCTGCCAAGGTGGGTGATGTGGTCCCCGTCGTGCAGATGAGGGACTGAGGCCCAGGAAGGCAGAGTGTGCAGAGTCCCTGAGCTGTTTTACTCCACAGCCGAGGTCCTGCTGCAGCCCCAGCTGCAAGAACAGGGCCCAGTTTGATTCCCCCGACTGGACGCCCGAGTATGGAATCCTCAGGCCGCCTGCAGGCTCGGGCTGTGCTTGTCACCTCTCGTCCGAGGGAGACGTCTGCCCTGTGCGGCACTGCTGAGTTCCAGAAGCTGCTGCCTCTGGCTGCCAGCAGGTGCTCGGAGCCGGCCAAGGGGCCTGGGAGGGACAGCCAGCGCCAGCCCCTCTGTGGACACCGCGATTGCCACTGAGGTTCAGGTGGCGCAGGACTTCGGGCACACTGACTCGTTTCACCTTTGGCCCTCTCGGTCGCCACGCCTCAGAGGGCCTGCTCAGGCTGTTGGCGCTGAAGCGCTTCTCCTGCGATGGCGTGGAGCAGCTGCCCTTCCCCGACGCCCACAATCACAGTGTGCACTTTCCATTCCCCCTCTGCCTGTGGGGGGCCCAGGGGGCATCCAGGCCCTGAGGACCCCGTCTTTACCCCAGGTCAGCAGACGCTGGCCCCCATACCACCAGAGCACTGCGCCCCTTGCCCCTCCCTGCCCCAGCAGTTTCTGAGTGGTCAGGCAGGTGGAGCAAGCTGAGAGGCTGTGGCCCCCAGATCCTGAGGAGACCCCTGGCAGGGAGCTTCAGAGGCGAGGGGCAATCTAATGGGCAGGGTGGTGCTGGCCCTCCGTGGTGTTCCAGGACCCCAGGAGAGGGACTCGCCTCCTCCCTAACCCCAGCGCATGCTGCCGCCTCCGTCCTGGGACCCTTGGTATCCACACCTGACTGTCCATCTGGCCTGGGGCCCTCTGGGAGGTCAGGACGGGCTTTTCCTTTCTGGGAGCCCTGGGCCCTGCACTGGGCTGGCACGGAGAAATGTTCCAGAAGGCAAGGGTGAGGGTAGCAGTTCTTACAATTGAAAAAAGATCTCATAAAGCCCAGTGCCCAGCCTCAGTGGGCAGGCGGCACGGAATGGGGCTGTAGCTCTGGCCACCAGTCCCCGAGGCTCTGCGAGCCTGGGAAGGGCCAAGGCTGTGCATCCCAGCCCTTCAGTCCTGGCAAGCCATGGGAGGCAGGAGAGGGGGCGGGCCCCGAGGAGCTGCTGCTGAGTGCGCGCAGCTGAGAGTGGAAGCAGTTAGGGCCCCTGGTAGATGCTCGTCAGAGAAGCAGGGACGGCGTCACCCTGCCTGAGCCAACGTGGACTTGGGAGCCAGCGGGAGCGCAGGACGGTGCCACGTGTCTGAAGTGGGGACGGGCAGCCTTCCCAGCTCCATTCAGGTCCCGTGGTTGTGGATGTGGGGGCATGTATCAGGCCTGTAGCAAGGCCTCCCAGCTCCTGGGGGCTGCCTGCCTAGTGGGACAGAGGTGAGCAGGATGAGGCCTCAGCCCTCAGTGCAGCAAGGGACGGGTAGCCCTGAAGCCACTGAGCAGAGGGATCGTGGCTGCAGGAGAGGCCTGTGCAGAGCCGTGGGAGGGCTTCGTGGAGGTGGTGAGTTTGCAGCTGGGGCTGGGAGGACGAGTAGGAGTCACTCTGTTGGGAAAAGTCTGGCAGGGCCTTGTGGGCAGATGGAAGAGTGTGCAGATAGCTGGGGCAGCACAAGGTGGCCTCCCAGCAGGACAGGCAAGGGACACTCAGGGCCCAGCAGGGAGCAATCATGGAGATGTGCAGGGGTGGTCTCCGGGCTGCCTGCATCACTGCTCTGGCGTCTGTCTGGTTTCTGCAGCCTCTCCCCAAAGGGACATACTCGAGGGACTCCTGCTGAGCTGCTGTGGCTCCATCCAGGGAGCAGGCGACACCTCTGTCTCTCTCAGATGGTGACACCAGGAATGAGTACCTGCAATGAAGCAGAATCTCGGCGTGATTTTGGATATGTTCTGGCGCCCTGGGGACAGGTCTTACTGACAAGAAGAGACCTGGGCAGGAGAGAGCCAGGGCCTCAGGGATTCTGACCACAGGGCCAGCCACAGTGTTCCCACCGTGTTGATGCAGGGCCCCCATGTGGATGTGACCTGCCAGGGCTGGCCACTGGAGCACAGAGGTCACCAGGCTGCCCACCCTGGGAGAAAACCCATGTGTGGGGCCTGCAGCCTGGGCTCCACCAGTGGCCTCAGTGCCTGCTCTGCCACAGGAGCTATGGGGCCTGGGACTCTGGCCCTCAGCCTCTGTCAGAACTAAGAAGAGGAGTCCTGGGCTGGCCAGAACCCCTCCAGTCGGGACAGGTGGCGGGCTGGGGGCTTATGGAAGGAAGCGAAGGGGCGGTGGCCTATTCTCTTGTAATTTGTCAGCAGACAACTCGGCTGAGGCCAGCTGGACTGGGCCCTGTCCTAGGAGTGGCTGCGTCTGGCCAGAGCCGTCAGGTTGGGGCCTGCCCACCGCTTGGCTGGTCTCGGCAGCTGGAGCCACTCTCCTCAGCCTTGGCGTCTGGCTCTGCAGGTCTGCCTGGGCTCTGTGGGCTGGGGGACCCCTCTCCTACTTTGAGTGGGGCAGTCCCAGTGGGCGTCTGTTGTCTGGGCACAATCATCAGTAGCCCCCTTCACTCTCAAGGTTCTGAACAGCGCATCTCACGGGGTCACTGCACCAAGGCCCACCCTTCACATGGCACCCGCCCCCAGTAGAGCAGAGGAGCTGTCATGCCACACTCGGCCTCACCCCCGTGTCAGGAGCCATCTTTGGGAGATCCACCTGGACAGATTGGCTGTGGGCTTTCTGGGTTGGGAGAGCCCGGTGCAGCCATGGGCTCATCGGCTGCTCTGGGGGCCCCGAGGCCAGCACTGCTCACAGTGTGGGAGTCAGGAAGGGCACAGTGGCCATTGGACACCATCTGGGTGGCTGCAGAGGACCTTCCAGGGTGCGACCCCTGAAGTCAGTGCAGGTCCCCATCAGCGAGAGGGACCAGGGGCTCCATGCCCCCAGGCCAATGGGGAGGTGCTGTGGGCAGTGATGCAGCAGCAGCTGTGGCTGCAGAGGGGAGGCTGAGGCAATTAGTGATCTGTTCCAAGGGACATACAGAGGCAGGGAGCCCGCAGCCCGGGAGGAAGTGAGTCCAGCCAGGAGGTGAGTGTGTGGAGGCAGCCCCCACCCCTACCTGGCCCAGAGCCTCGGCTGTGATGGGCGACACTCAGGGAACCCCTGCATGAGGCTGAGCAAGGGGACCCCCTCAAGGCCGCCTTGGGGACAGGCAGGGTCCTCAGTGGAGAAGGGAGTCCTACGAAGTAGAGACTTCCTCTCCAGGGGGCTAGCCTCCAGCAGGGATCAGGGAGCTGGAGATCCTGGCTCAGGCTGGAGAGAAGCAGATGCCAGGACGGAAAGGAAGGGGCAGGGCAGGGACGGGGGGCGCTGTCTGGATCTGCATCTGTGTCCTGGTCCCTGTGTGCCCAGACTGTCTCGCCCTGAAGAAGGCCAGGACCCCAGGGTGGGGTGGGGGCATGTGTGCTGTCGGGGTGGAGCAGATGTGGAAGGTGAGTGTGCATCAGGGGACCCTTGACTTGCTGCCCCAGGGATATGGCCTGTCCTGTGATGGCTCAAGGGCTTCCAGGGTGGGCTGTGAAGCACTGCCCTCCCCTAGCTCCCCCTGCACACCTGGCCCTGGGGTTTATTGGATGATTGCTCCAATGAATCGGACCCTGCAGGGACGGAGGCTCCAGTGGCCCAG